GGGAGACTAAGTTCTGTAGAGAGGAGATAGTCCGGCATTAAGGCCCCTAAAGATCTGTGTGGAAGGAGTCCCATGTTCAGACACAGATGCTATCTGCCACTCCAGATAAATCCTTCTCCTTTTATGCTGTTTATTTCTTTGTAATAGAGCCTCTGCAGGAGTTGGGTTGCCGATGGCTGTGCCCTCCTCAGCTGCTCAGGAGCAGCTGCACTGGGGGCTCTGCACGGGTTAACTCTATAAACTCGATCATGTTTTGTTAACTTCTCTCAGTGTCCCAGTATCAGATGAGAGTGACTGGTCTCCTGCTCCACCTCTTCCTGACTTAGCTTTATCACTGAATTCCAAAAGAGCCTCTATATGGAAAACCTGACATATCTTTTCTTTTTTAACATTTATGCACAGCGAGAAAGGGTTCACCAGAGAGTGAACGGTGCAGCTTTTAATACATCGTAGGTGTGTTGTGGTTTAAGATTTCATTGCTGCAAAAAGTGAAATATCTTATTTTTGTGCAGTTCTAAAGATAGGGTATTCCATCAGGCAGAATGAATTTATGCAGCGGTTACCTGTATTTGTCTACAAGCCTTAGCTGACTGGGTTTCTGAAATGAGATACAGTTTTGAGATACCCAAATATCCACTAGGTAATACTCTTCTTAAAAAAAGGAGTTATATGCAAAATAAACCCCCTGTAATTTTCCTAGTGTTCGTATTCATTTCCAGTAACTTACGAGTGTATTAAATAACAGGAATAATTAGAATGAATGTAATATTAGAAAATAGGCTTCATAAGATGCTTGGAGTTCTGGATTTTGTAAAGTTGACTAATTGGAATACAAGAAGTGACAGCTTTTAAGCATCAGCAGAGCAGACAGTGCCGTTCAGAGTGGCGAATACGAACAGCCCATTAGCACTACTGCGGTTCCTGGTCCATGTTTTCAGAGCACTTGGAAGCTGATTTTGATGCAGCTATTCTACTTTAAAACTAAGTGGCAACAAACTTAAATAAAATTCAGTATCAGGATGATTGAAAGTTGCTATATATATTCAGTTTTTTAACTGATTCGGTGAAAAAAATATTTAAAAAAATTTAACCTGTGGCAGAATTTCCACTGTGCTTATAACTGGTGAGCCACAGTAACCAAAAGACTTAATTAAAACATGCAGTTTCAGCTTCTTGGAGAGCACACAAGCCCATTAACTGTAGCAAATATTTTCATTCAATTTAAAACTGAATGTAAGTTGTGGTTTCTCTTCATATGAAATATTTCAACTCAATGGATCTCACAAGGATTACACACACCTTCAGAAAGCATTCCTACTATCATGATGTCGATGTTCAGAGTAGCTGGGACTTAGTAGATTTATACACTAGATACACTTTGTCCCGCTGTTTGTAATGAAAGTATTTAGTTCATTTTTTCCTGACTTAAGGAACTGAATACACTAGGTGGGTGATTTCATTAAAGGATCGACCTTATATGATAATCATCAATGTTTAACTACAGGGTCTCTTTCCTCCCAGTATCTACAGACACTTAAACTGTAGAACAAGTCAGTTAAGACTGGTTTTGGGGAAAAAATGTTTATGAAACTTATACATTCCTTTTTTTATGTAAAGATCTTCAGATCATGGAGGCAAATTCAAAATTTTCTGCTGAGGCCGCCTAAATATTTGAGAAAATCTAAAATTACAGGACAGGGTTTTTTTGTAAATTTCTTTGTTTAGCTAATATTTTTGTTTAGATCATAGGTGCAAACAGATCATTTGTACCTCTTACTAGATGGCAAGTGGCTAGATCTCTGCATTTCCAGCATTTTGGAGTTGCTCAGGTTCCAGGTAAGGAAGGTATATGAACTGAACATTGTGCTTCTGGTCCACGTAAATCAGCATCACTCCAGTAAAGAAGACGAATTCTTGCCAATCAAAATTAATGGCAATTATCCCTATTCTAGATATTGCAGCCTGACTTTATCCCAGGGACGGAGCATCAAAGGTACACCGACTCTGATGGAATCACTCTCTAAATGAGTTGGCTCGTTGCGTTGGCAGGGTGGAAACAGCAGCTCTTATCTTAACCCGCTGTTTGTTAGCTTCACCCATGCTTAGGACTTGTGACAGGGAACGTTGCTGAAACTTGGCAGTGTGAAAGCATTCCCCACAGATATTTTGCTGCCAACTGCAAAGACTGACAGGAGACACAGATGGTAGTTTTCCTGGAAACTAAAATGTAATGCCATTTCCTATTAGAAACATTGGTGAAAGCTGACCCGGTGACTTATCAACAAGCCATCATGCTGACCACGTAGGAAACTCTTGTGAAACAGACTCAGGCTGCAGGGACCAGGTTTCCAGTAAATGCAAAAATACCAACATAGTTCTTTCTCAGATAACATTTATAAGAATGAGTATAAAACTGGTTTGAGTTTAGAGTTTGAAGGGGAAAATTGGCCCTCAGCAGAGTTGCGCTAAGGCTGAAATGACTTCAAAATTTGTCACATCCGTTGAAGATAAACAGGTATCTTTCTGATAACTTTTCACAAGTCTGAAACATCTTGTTCTTGATACTCTTGTGGCTTTTAATTTCTATTGCTTGGTGAAGGAAATATCATTTTCTAGCTGCCTCTTGGATGAACTTACATATTTACTGATTGCATCTTATTCCATTTATAATGTCTGAATAAAATATTTTAATTTTACATTCTAGGAGGGCTAATATAATATTAATTCTGATCTAAGGGTGGCTATTATTAGACTGTAAGATTTGGAGTAGGAATTTTCATTTACCAGGGGCTTGAAATTAAGAGGCTTCTTACTGATATGGATGGGTTCCGATTTTTCCATCTACTGCTTGTCATGTGCCACTCCCACTCCACTTTATCAGTGACAGGGTTTTTTTACCCCTTATTCATCAAAATTTTCTGCCAATAATCTTGATTTCTTACAAGGCTCCCCATTGCACCTATATGTATGGAATGACCCTTCCATCAAACTTGAAAAAGCCAGTAATAACCTTTAGCACTTTCTGTTCTAGGATGCTGGCAAAGAGTGTGACAGGTTTAAGTATTTGATGATTTGATTTGAGTCCTTGGCCATACTTTCACAGGTGTGGGGGGGGGATGCTTCCTTAGATATTCTTAACAGGTGGTGTTTTTTCCAGCCCACTATGAGGCTGGGCAAATGTTTCCAAGGGCAAAAAAACCCAAAAGTAATTTTGGGGGAAGAAATGTGGAAAGGAGTCTGGGACCTCTATAAACCAGGACTCTCTAAACCTGAAGTCTCCCATTACAAAAACATCTGTGAAGTTATACCCTGAGTAGACTACCTGTAGCCACCTGTTATGCACATTCTGTCCAATCCACAGTATTTTGGGAAGCCATGGTTAGGATTTGTACAAATTCCTGGGACTACAGCCAAATAAATGACATTGAAATAAATACTAGTGCTTACTAATTGCAGTGTATTGACTCACATGCCATACAGCAATTACTGTGTTGTTTTTTTTTTTTAATTTGAACAGATTCTTTTTTAAAGATTTCTTAGTGTCCTTGGTATGTACACACATGTTTAAAAATCTTGCACACCACAGCAAGAAAGCATGATTATGTAGCAGATTTTGTTACTGCAGGAGCTGTATAGAGCCTTGATATATAAAATAAATTTATAATCTGCTTCCTCCTGTGCTAATGGGTGGAAACCTGAGGAGTAATTAGTTTGTCACAGAGCCAGCTTCTTAGTAATGATTGATAAATGGTTGTTTTTACATAGCCCACACAGACACAGAGTGCATACCAACAGTAAACCGCAGTTTGTAGGGAGGTCACTGGAGCCTACTAGCCTATCTTCACTTAAATGAGCCTTACATGTTTTAGCTGTTGTGGAAAATATGCAGAGTATTCTGATAAACTCTTATCTGATGTTCAGATCCTGCACGCAGAAGTTCAAATGAATCATTCTGATGTGCAGATCACAAACATAGACGTTCACATGAATCACTTTGTCCAGACATTTGATTAACTTTTTTTCATCCTTTCAGAATCAGTCCAACTTATGTTGAAATCCATGGGATGCTGCTTTGACTTAAATGAAGGGGCCAGTCAAGTACTTGAAGGATGTGATGCTGGCACGAGAAATAGGGTGCTGCCTTTTTACGCTGCTTTAATATTTATATTAAAAGGGCATAGAGTGCACCTGACAGAGCCCTAAAGGAAAGTAGGTCTTTTGCTAAGTAGAGTAGAAAACAGATTTGCAAGTATCATGGTGATTAGCGTAGTTAAAAATGCTTATGGAGGCTGAAAAGGACAGCAGTCATTCTGCTTATTCAAAGCTTCTGCTGAAAGCAGTTAGGAAATTTTTGGTGCTTTGAAGTTTGCCTTTGGCTTACCTTCTTTTATAATATAAATGAAAATGCAGCTTAATTGTGATTAATTAGTTAATTATTTACTGCTGTGTCTTTTAGCTGCTTTGCAGTAATATTTCACAGTATGGTTTGCTGTGTGTTTTATTATTATGCTATGAATAGAAGATTCATAAGTGTCTCAGTTTGAGAACTTTTTTGCTTTATTAAAGACTAATTAGATTAACTTTTGATCAATTCCTCTGCTATACTTTGGCTATACTGTTATACTTCTAGATTTAATATACAGAAAAACTGACATTTCATCTATTCAGAGCAATTAATAAAAAACTTAAAAGCACATACTTAGTACGTAAAGATACAGTAAATGACAAATCCAGCCTAATGTGCAAGAGCATGAAAATTGATATGCATAAGAAAAAGCCTACTGTAACTTTCCTTTGGACAACCAGAAAAAAGTAGGAGCATGACAAATTTAAACAATGACATTTTTCCTAAAGAACTGTTATCTAAAAACTGAACATTGGTTTCTAACAATGGCACTATTCATTTTCACTGATTCAGGGTTTATATGCATTAATGTAAATTGTTTCTAGGCTCTTAAAAACCAAACGCAATCTAAAAGGTGAACTTCTTAAAATCTCACCTGGTAGGCAGTGCCTTGTTGTTCCTTGATGGTTGGCAGAAACATTTTGCCCATCAAGTCAGACCCTTTTCAAAGTGAGCTCAGCAGAAACTCCAATATCTCATCTCTCTAGTAGGAGGAAATAACGGGAGAGCTTAGAAAAAGACCGCTGATGCCGCTGCGCTGCCCTCGGTAGCGGCACCGAACTTTGTGTATACACGTGACTTCCCCTGCACATAGATGCACATAATCCTTTAAGCTTCAGCTGCACGCTGGTATTGGCGCAGAGGGCTGTTGCAAAAACAGGGGGCCTGATCCTGTCGTAAGGACTATTCTGCGTACCACGTTCGTAATTGTGAAAGGGATTTTTAGGGGTCGATTTTTGGAAAGGACAAACTGAAAGGACATTACTGTGGTTCGAGAACAGTTCAACCTTTGGTATAGTTACGTAACAGCAGACAAATAGTGGCTGCTTCGAACAGAGAGAGCTTTTTGGTATGAAAAAAAAAGAATTGTTACTATAGGAGTACTATTCTGCAAAGCTGTGCATGTTAACAGAGTAATAAACTCAAAGCAAAATAAGCCAAACTGACAAAAATATTATGTTAGTAAAATTTGATTTTCTTTGGAGCTACTCATCACAGCTGTGTTTGTCAGGAGTCACATCCCTTCCCGCCTTTGAAAAACAATGCTATTTAGCAAAAGCCTGTAACATCCACTTGGTCTCTGGAGAGTTTAGACAGTAACCAACATTAGACCTGAAAAAGAGCCAATGTAGGCTTTAAAAAATACTTTACTGTAAACCTCAGAATTATTTTAAGCATTCAAAAAGAACATTTTTAATTAAAAGAAAAAAAAAAGAGTTAAGGAAAATGCTACTGCTATATCATCTTGTTTTAATGAGATGGTAGGTAAATGTAAATTCTTTCCATTTGAATAAAAAGCATGTAATATGATTCTGTCTACTTAGCTTGAATACAAATAGTCCTTAAATAATTTGCCTTTTTAAACTGTAATGAAGTACTAATTTATGTGTTTTCCTTCCTCCCCAAAGCAGTAAAGTGTAATATATGCTTTTATTTATCAAGTAAAAAGGAGTTGACCCTTAAAATGGATGAAGAATTTGTTATTCATGTTAGGCAGGTATGTAGCATGTGTATTTTCTTTAGTGTATGTAATACATGTGTGTTTTATTTTATACCATTACTTGCTTGTTTTTATTCTTACAGTATCTTATAAGCTAGAACTTCACAATAGGACTCTAAGATAGACTCTAGGGTTAATGCCTGGGAACTTTTTTGATTGTCGGTATTTACAATCTAAGTATTTCATAGAATCATAGAATGGTTTGGGTTGGAAGGGACCTTAAAGATCATCCAGTTCCAACCCCCCTGCCATGGGCAGGGACACCTTCCACCAGACCAGGTTGCTCAAAGCCCCATCCAACCTGGCCTTGGACGCTGCCAGGGATGGGGCAGCCACAACTTCTCTGGGAAACCTGTTCCAGGGCCTCACCACCCTCACAGTAAAGAACTTATTCCTTACATCTAATTTAAATCTACCCTCTTTCAGTTTAAAGCCATTACCCCTTGTCCTGTCCCTACGTGCCCTTGTAAAAAGTCCCCCTCCAGCTTTCTTGTAGGCCCCTTTAGGTACTGGAAGGCTGCTCCAAGGTGTCCCCGGAGCCTTCCCTTCTCCAGGCTGAACAACCCCAACTCTCTCAGCCTGTCCTCATAGGGGAGGTTCTCCAGCCCTCTCATCATCTTCGTGGCCCTCCTCTGGACTTGCACCACAGGTCCGTGTCCTTCTGATGTTGGGGGCCCCAGAGCTGAATGCAGTACTCCAGGTGGAGTATTTGCCTAGTTCAGTTATTTTTTTTTTGTCGCCTAGTCAGTTATTTTTTTTTGTTCCTTTTGGCTAAGCTTTTATTGTTTATATTAAAGTAAAAAACCCCCAAGTCTCTATTTACAATCTTTATAACATAGCAGCTCTGTTTGTAGGTCCTACGTTAATATTTTCCATTAAATGTTCTATTGTTGGACATTGGTCAAATTGTTAAATAAACAAGCACTTCTTTAATCTCAGAAGTAATATTTCTATGAGGAGACGATGTGGGGCAGCCCAGGATTATGCTTTTTCCTTTTTTTAATGGTTTGTAATATTTTATGCTTATCACTCATTTGGTTAAGCCATTAGGTATGGTTTATATTTTGAAACACAGAGCAAAACCCCCAAACTGTGTTGATTTACATTTGATAAAATACTAGTGACAGTTGGGCATAGAGTTTAAGGTGAAGTGTGCTTTCCTTTTGCAATTCAGACCTCATAAACTTAAGCATATAGGCTTTTTGCAGGAGAAAAATGCAGAGATTGGGAGATGGAATAGTGCTCCTTCGGTCTCTCGGGAGAGCAGAAGGTAATAACGCGGCTCCTTCAAGTCTGGTGCTCTCCTGGTTTTATAGAGGTGGCTACTTGCTCTTACAGGCCCCGCCAGTCCATCACTTATTTCAGTTTGCAGTGCCCACAACCTAATAGTTTTTACATTATCCTGGTCGGGTTTGTCTAGCACACTTTCCCCAAGGCTTGTTTGAATGTAAAGATCTATAATCACCTACACAATTATGCTCTGTAAGTATCACTTGTCCCTGATTGTCTGGAGTAACTTGGGGTAGTTGTGGGGCAGAGGAAACTGTCATACTTTGACCAAAAAGGTCCAAATTTTAACAATGTCTGTTCTTGCAGATCTTGCACAGGTATTTCTTGTGGCAGACCCAGGGGAATTTGTGCTGAGACTCAGTCCTGGCCAGACAGCTGCAAGGGGACTGAGTGAAATGCTGAACAAGGATGTTTGAAGTTTACTTTGGTGACTTGTTTTTTAACTCTGCCTCATTGCAAAGTAAGCAAGTGCCAGCCTCAGTGAAGATGGAGCCTCTTCTGTGACCTGCCAGGAGAATTAGCCCATACTTAAAACACCTTTAAACACAAGCCAGATATTTTTTCTGTGCACACGGTAGAAGTTCAGCTGGATAGGAGTCCAGTATGAGCGTGAAACACATACATAACCCAGTGCATTTTTTCTTTACCACCACTAAGCATCAGGGATCACAGAAGCCTTGGGGGTCTCCTCACATGCTTAATTTTCAGAAGCAGTATACTGTTGCTAATAGCTTGATTAATATGCTGAATTAAATACGGCAGGTCCCTGACCATCCTCCCCCAAATACAGTTCTCATTGTTGATGGTTCTGTGAAGTTAATGTACAGTCCTAAAGTTCGTAATTACAAGTAACTTTGTTAATATAAAAGTTGTATTCGAGCAGTGCAGGGTTTTGTTTACAGAATAATTTGTAGTAGTTCAGATGATGAAGCCACCATATGTTTGAGGTGCTGATGTTTCTGACATGCTGCTACATCTGATATGAATTGATAGATAATTCTGATAATATTTTTTTACTTACAGGAGCTAAATAAGGCAAAAACTAGGAAGTTCTGTTCAATTTTGTTTGGCAATACAGTGACTTTCAAAAGTTCATCTTTTAGGAGTGCTCTGTGCAGTAACTTAGACTTAGGTAGAGTTACTGATTCAGATGGATTAAACAAATCACAAGGTTAAAGTGAAAGTAGTTATTTAGGATTGTGGTTGCCAGAATATTATTTTTATGAGCTGAAGTGGTTTTGTTGAAGCATCACTATGACATTAGTGAATTAGTGGTGTACATTTGGGCCCTTCATACCCATGTGTAAATTGTCTATAAAGAATAGTTATTCATATAAAAGGATTATCCGGAATATTCCTCAGTATACTTTTATCTTGAGCTGAAATGATGGCACCTTCAGAGGAGTGCAAACAGTTGGTGGTACATGATAAAAAGACTGTGCTGTGGGCAAAGATCTCCTCGTTCATTGCACAGAATGCGGCCAGTCCCCACTGACGTTTCTTCTTATTTTTCAGTACTGTTGTTTTAAGTGTAGAAGCAAGATGTGATATTAATGGGATTCATTCAGGACTGTTTATTTGTGTTTTATCTCAGCATGAGTATTCAGCAAGTTCATATTTGGTCATAACATGCCTGAAAATGCTTTGGTAATTACTTAAAAAAAAATGGAAATTGAATGTGCAAATAAGCAAGACTTACTTGAAAATTTCGGAGTAGTTGCTTTAGAACTGCCTTTTATACGAGCGCAGCTTTTAGTCCCTTTCATTTTTTAATCTGCTACAATATTTCAGGTTGTAAGAACTTTGATGGAAAACTTTAAAAAGGCGACCACAACTGTACCAGCGCTGCAACCCCATTAATCATACATTCATTCTTCAGAACCAGCGTCTCTGGTTTGAGAAATTCAACCAGCTTTCCCTAGGGGCCGTTCGCAGATGAGCTCTGGTGAAACTTGCTGCGGTAGCTGGATGCTCTGCGGCCCCGACGGTTCGAGGGGACGCGAAGGTCTGCGCGCTCTTAAGGGGCGTCGCGGTGAACTCGAGCTGCTGAGATGAGTGCAAGGCTGTGATTTTCCGTGTGTCACCTCCGTCGCTACAGGAGTGGGAACCTCCAGCAGAGGGTCGGTGGCAAACGGGCTGGGAGAGGAGCGATACCATCGGGATCCATTGCAGCTCCTTCCTCTGCTGACGTGACTCGGGATCCTCATGTGGTTTTAGCAAAAATCCCTCAGACCTGCTAACCCAGCTAATTCGGAGAAGCTTTCCAAAAGTATTCAGAGCTTGTGATTCACTTCAGTAGCATGCCTTTTATTTATTTGTTTTGAAAAGACCGTGATTCTGTTTCAAAAACATGGTTCTATGCTAAAAACGTAAGATGAAAACTGATAGTTGCGTACAAATGGGAGTAATAATAATGGCAAGGCACGAGTATTTGAGTCTTTTCTAGTCAGTAGGCTTTTTAACTTGGGCTTCTTTGTATTTGACCTCTAATTTGAATGGCCAAACTGCTGAAATTCACTGTTAGATCATTGCTTGTGTGGATGTATTAGAGATGTATTCTGGTGCATCTGTGTGCATCTTTTGTCTCTGCATACTTTGGATAATTTTATTAGCTATTGTTTGAAAATGTCGTTAGACATTAAATCAGTTTATTTAGCTATTGTGGGCTAATCCAAACATACAGAATATAATACACTGCTCCTGACCTTTTCCTGTTACCAAGTTTTCAGCAGCTCTTCCCTTTGCAGACCTCAGGTGGTGGGGATGGAGGAAGGGCCTTAACCCTCTTGGGTGTATTTGGGGAAGACTACAGGACAGGCTGAAGGCACTGCAGCTCACTTCGCAGCACAGGAGAAACAGGAGAGGAGATGTATA